CCAGGTGGTGTGGTGATAAAACTCGTAGCAAGTTGATTATCCCATACGCGATTACAAGGTACGGATTCGAGGACGAATCCTTTCGAAGAGAAAGTGGATGATATGATCCGGGACAGGTAATCATTTGGTTGGATCACGGAGTCCAAAATGAGGAAGTTAACATGTCAAATAACAACTTACGTGTTGGACATGATGGCGAAATCAAGTTAGGTGCATTGGATTCAAGATTTATGAAAAAATGAGTATCGTGGATGAAAACGTGCATGACTTTCAGCTCGGATGTCGAATTTCCGTCCATGAGTACAATCCAGAAACGGCATGAAATTTTGTACAAGGAAAAAGAAGATTCAAAATCAAAGCTATGTGAATGCATAGCTTAAAATGATTGCGGATCTGGTGCGTAATCTTCTATTATGTTAAAATTATATTCTTGGTATCTTTTAGTATCTTTGAGACTTAAATTCCATTTTTAAGTAGGTTTTATGGGTTCCCTATATATATGACTTATTATATTCATTATAAACACACAATTATTGAGATTATTATCGCGAGGCTAAATTGCTTTCTTCTTGTTCTTCATTGTTTTAATTTGAACTTATCAAGAATTAATTTTTTGTGGCGTTCTACAATTCAAGGTAAGGTTCATAAGTTTTGTGATCAAGGGTCAAAATATTTTTAGCGATTATCTTGATTCTTTGTTCAATAATTTATTGGCTCGAGCTTTTCAATTGTTGATTCTTGGCTTTCTGGGTTGTTTCAATTTGTCGTAGGTTCCACAGCTACAATTGCTACGTTGGTTCGCATCACTTATAAACAGAAAGTGGCATTAAGTTAACACTAGCACCTAAATCACAGAAGGAATGTTTGAAATAATTAAAAGCAATAGTGCAAGGTATAGTAAAACTCTCTGGGTCCTTTAGCTTAGGAGGTAGCTTTTTTAAGAGAATTGCACTGCATTCCTCGTTCAGGCAGACGATCTCATGTTCTTCCAGCTTCCTCTTGTTGGACATAATTTCTTTCAAAAATTTTGCATAACTAGGCATTTGTGCTATTACATCTGCAAAAGGGATGTTTATGTGTAATTTCTTGAAAATCTCCACAAATTTGGCAAATTGTTTGTCTAACTTCTTTTTCTGCAACTGTTGAAGAAAGAGAATTGGTGGCACATAAGTTTTGATGGGACTTGGTGCTCTTACTATAGATTTTTCTCTTCTTTCTTTCTCCTCTTTTGTAACTGGTGCAACTTTTTCCTTCTAGGAGCCTCTTCAACTTCTATCTCTGTCTTTTCTGTCTGGTCCCTTCACATGTATCTCTGAAAATTGTACACCACTCCTAATTGTAATAGCTTGCACTCGTTCCTTTGGATTTATCATTGTATTGTCTGGCAATGTCCCTTATGAGCGCTCTGCAGGCTATTGAGCTATCTGACTAATTTGTGTCTCCAACTTCTTGATCGATGCCTGCTGATTCTAAAAATTTATGTCAATTTTCTGGAACACCTTGTCTATTTTCTGCATATACCTATTGAACTTCTCCCCCGAACTTGGTTGTTTTTCCTGCTAAGCATTATTTGAACCATTCTCTTGCTGATTATCTGACCATCCGAAGTTTAGTTGATATCTCCATCCTGGGTTATATGTTTGCGAATATGGGTTAAAATTGCGAGAGTCATTCTAAATGAAGTTGACTTGTTCCTCGGGAAAGTCCATAGATATACAGTTTTCTGTCAAATGGTTAGCTCCACAGATTACACATGATGGAACACTCATCACTGCATATGCTAATTTCGTTAGTGATTTCACAAATAGCTCTACTTGCTTTGACAAATTTTCTATTTGCGCGAATGGGTTAAAGGAGTCATTCTGAATGAATTTGACTTGTTCATACGATAGACATACAGTTTTCTGTCAAATGGTTAGCTCCATAGTTTACGCATGATGAACCACGTATCATTGCATGTGCTCCTCTCGCTTGTGATTTCACCAATAACTCTACCTACTTTGTCAAAGTTGCTATCTACACGTTCGTAGATATTGTGCTATATAATTCTTAATCACATATGCTCTCGATGGTACAACTCTTTCTGATGAAAATATTGAATGTGTAATGGAAATTAACTCAAATAAATACATGATTTGTTGTACCGATTTTCTTATAATCGACCCACCTGCAGAGGAATCCACCTGAGATTTTGACATAAATTAAGTAGAATTTTATCCAAAAGAAAATAAAAAATCATAATTTAGGGTTTCAAATAAGTGTAGAAACTACACTTATCAAGGTTCCGACAAAGGTATAGATGGTATCAAGAAGGCCGCCATTGATTGGTTGTTGTTGACAGCAATAGTGTGTAATGGGTGGAGAAAAACCACGAAGAAGCTTTGAAAGCGATGAAAGAGCTCCAAGGAAGTCGTAGAAATATTTCAATTCTTTTTGAAGGGGTTGATGGGGAGGAAGATGGGTGTATATTGATTTTAAGGGTTAGGGGTGGGGTTTAATGGGTGGAGGTGTAGGTGTAGGTGTAGGTGGATATACTTGATTTTTTTTATTTAAATAAAAATTAATGATACCTAATTTTTAAAATGAAAAGTTCAAAAAGTAAGGTCGTCTCTAATTTTTCAAAGTTATTACACAAAAACCAAGCAAGTATTGATAATTAAGTTGGCCCACAATAATCGAAAGGAAGCAAAGGAAAAGGAATAGTACGTACTTTGTCTTTTGCCTGTCAACTATTCACGAGAATGCCTATGCATTTATCACCAATTCTTTATTATAACCAAATTCACTTTGAACTTTGAAGGTAAAAAACATCTTAGTGACATTTTTTTTTTATCATCATTAAAGTTTGAAACTGGTCTCTTTTGGTTCTTTTTTGTAAACCTCTAAACTTTATTTTATTGTCCACCAGTTGAATCACTTTTTGTCGAAATAAATTTGACATGAGTGTAGTGCTTTGTACTTGGGTCGCATTAATGTTAGAGTAATATTATTTATCATCATTGATTTTATAACACTTTCAAGTGCTAAGTGCCATTAAAAATGAAATCTACGTTAAATAAATTAAATAATTTCACTTTTAATTAAATATATCACATAATGCAGATAAGGTGCTCTAGCACCACTGGACATCATTAGTATATGGGCATTTTGTATTTATCTCTGAACTAGACATCATTGTATATCAACTATAAAGGGTGTCAAATGGATAGAGACTGTGGGTCTAATACAGCCATGGTCGGCTAGTGTTCACGAAGAAACAAGATATACGTATTTTATTATCCTATAAGGATTTTAAATTTTTAACTACTTTAAGTGATTATTTAATTTTATTTTTTTTTGTCAATTTATTATTTGTATGAAAATCCCAAACATAAGTATCTGTTTTTAGTCGTGATTCTTTCAAAAAGAACACAATTTCACATTATTTTAATATTTCAAATGAATATTACATTATAGTTTTTATTAAAGAAAACAACATTATACTAATATTCCATTGGAATATTACTCTTTTATCAAAAAGCATAATTTTGTAAAATTTAGTATTATATAAGAAAATTATACTATTGCTCCTTATTTTATATAATAAGCTTTTGTTGCTCTTGAAAAAGCATAACATTGTACCAAAATTCTTGTAGAATATTACTTGTCCCAAAAATATAATATTCTAGAAGAATATTAGAGGAATATTAAGTTATTGCTTCAAAGAAGCACAAATTTTTGTTTATGGATCTTCTTAAAGAAAACTGCATCGTTATTCTTGAATAGTGGTACGAAGTGTCCTTGATTTTAAATCATTATCGATTGACAACGATGTTTTTGGGTATAATTTCAATTTTAATGGGTTAATTTCACAAACGGTCACTGAACTTACATCAAAATCATAAAATGGTCACTGAAGTTCAAAATTTGCAGAAACGGTCACTGAACTTACCTAAACCTTCACTAACGGTCACTAAAGGACCAAAACACAAGAATTGAATCCTTGAGGATCTCAAGTGTAAATTTCATCCAATTTCATTTGCTCAAAATTTATTCACTAACAGTCACTGAAGGACCAAAACACATGAATTGAATCATTGAAGACCTCAAGTGTAAATTTCATCTAATTTCATTTGCTCTAATTTTGCCCCTAACTTGAAGAATCACCACTTTTTCCTCCCACCTACACCATATGGAGTCGGCGCCGAAAATTGCCAAATTCAACCGCCATACCGCCAAATAAACCATCAGATTTTTACACCACCAACACCTCCTCACCCCCCTCCCCCTCCCCCTACCCCCCTCCACAATCCTATACCAACAAGCAACCTTAACTGATAAAAAATCAAATGAAATTCCGATTCAAAAAATCATCCATACGCAGGATTCTACCTCCAATTCCGGCCGATTCCACCACTGTCGTCGCCACCTCCACTTCCACCGCACCACCACCACCTCCACACAAACACCATCACCACCACCACCAGAAAAAATATCCAAATGAGAACCGAAATCAACATCAATGATGCATTAAAATCCTTTTATTAGATGCTCCAAATGCAACTCTTGCCACCTAGCTCATCATTTAACAAATTGATAGTCTCTGTTGCCAAAACCAAGAATTATCAAGGTATCATTTTTATGTAGAAAAGGGTGTGCGAAATTTGTGTTTTTGGGCTGGATTTTCTGCTGTTTCTTTTGATTTGTGGCTGGTGGATAACAAATTGATAGTCTCTGTTGCCAAAACCAAGAATTATCAAGATATCATTTTTATGTAGAAAAGGGTGTGCGAAATTTGTGTTTTTGGGCTGGATTTTCTGCTGTTTCCTTTGATTTGTGGCTGGTGGTTGATTGGAAATTGTAGAGGGAAATGAGGCGAGGCTCATGGTGGTTGGATCTGGTAGTTTTCGCTGCTGGAAAGTCGTGATTTGTGGCTCCAAAGTGGAAACTGAGCTTAGTGCTGGTACTGTACCTTAATCCTCCCAAACCGTGCCCTAATCCCCAACCGCCGGTTGCCATCCATGGGCGATGGTGAGCCACCACCTTCCCAACCCTCATCTGCTCCTCTCCCTCATCCCAAGCCGCCGGACGCCATCACCATGGAGGACGGCAAAGCCCCTTCATCCCAGCCCTCCTCCACACCTCTCCCTCATCCGAACTCGTCGATCACCTCCTGGGGCAACGGCAAGACCTCCTCACCCCAACGCTCCTCCTCACCTGGCCTCACGCTACCCTATTCAGCCATGGCACCCTCTGAAAGACCCCAAACCGTGGACATTCAAAGTGAAGGCAGCCCTCATTCTGGTCACTCCCTCACTTCAGATATAATTGAGCTTAGTGCCGAGAAGTGGTTAATATTTGGAATCAGGGGCAAATTTTGAGAAATTGAAATTAGATGAAATTTGCACTTGACTTCCTCAAGGATTCAATTCATATGTTTTTGGTCCTTCAGTGACCGTTAGTGAAGTTTATGTAAGTTCAGTGACCGTTTATGCAAGTTTTGAACTTCAGTGACCGTTTTGTGATTTTGATGTAAGTTCAGTGACCGTTTGTGAAATTAACCCTAATTTTAATTGTTAAATTTGGATCTAATAATATTTGGAATGTGACTCATATATTGTCACTTTTTTGTTTCTATACTATTACTAAAAATAATATTATTTCTCTTGACAAAACATTCTTATGTAATTCTATTACCTATTCTTCGGTTAACTTTTATTTCCTCTCAAACCATGAAGATGAATTGATGAAGTTTGTTAATTTTAAACTCATTGCCAAGGATTTTTATAAACTTAATATTTATAAACCTTTCAAAAGTACATCATGTACTTTTTGTATTAAAACGCTAAGCTGTGCGTTTCAAAAAAAGAAAAAATATATATTTATATACTAAAATTTATTAACATTATATTTCCTGGATTCTTGGTACATATTAAGTGTGATAACATTCGATTTCAAGTTTCAACACAAAAAATTTTAGAAGAAAATGGAGCAAATCAGAGACGGATTCAGGATAGGACTACAAACCGACTAATACATAGAAAAAAATTACGCGTATTTCTTTTTTTACACTAAATAATTAACGAGCTAGGGTCCCTTGTTGCTTTTTTTTTTATATCGCAAGTATATGATATCGTAACAAATAGTATAGTGGATTTTTGAGTTCGGATATCGTTTCCACGAAAATTATACTTCAGGATTTTTATCAAATTTTTCTACCTCCTATTTGATAAAAGCAAGTAAATAATTATGGTGGTTGCAATTATTTTTCCTAACTACTTTTAACTAATTGAAAATATAAAAAGATTGCAAACAACGATTGATTGAAGATTCAAATATGTGATGAATCTTAGAGCATAACAATTTTATATATTGATCACCTTAATTCTTAATTCAAGATTCATAACCTAATATAGTGTTCGATCGAATTCTTCTATTGTATTCAATTTATCCATTTCGAGTTCTCATTTAACCTATTTAACTAATTCAATTACATACCTTTATGTGAATTAATTCAAAATTCATAACTTAATGTAGTGTTCGATTGAATTCTTCTATTTTATTCAATTTACCCCTCTCAAATTCTCATTTGGTCTATTTAACTAATTAAATTCCATATTTTTATGTGAATCAACTTTAGTTAAACAAAACACTAGTTTTAAGAATTCATATTATGATCGTAATAATTAATATAAGTATCTCTACACGTTATACTAATTTACCGAATTTTATTATATGGTCTAAATTTTAAACTCGTCTCTCGATTTGTAAAAGACTCACATAATCATCAAATTAGTGATCAATTAATTCAATGCATTAAATTTAAAGTACAACCAACACATATAAGAAAAAATCACAAAAATCTTGAATAGAAAAATAAATGATCACAAGTCGATTATATTGTTTTCCTTAATATGAAAATTAGTTACTTATACTGTAAAAATGAAAATACGTAAAAGTGAAACGACATCACCAAAAATTGACGAAACATAAAATTGCTCGTGTGTGCCGTATCCTTTCTTTCTCTCTTTTTCTCTGCATTTTTTTTTCCTGCCACCCCCACCCAAGTCGCCTTCTTTGACTTTTCCCAACTCCAATTTCTCAGTCTCTCTTTTTTTTCTTTCTTTTCTCTCTTTCTGGCACTTTTTCTCACTTTTAGTACAGTTTTTTTTGTCCTTTTTCAGTAGCCGTCTTTTTTTTCTCAAAAGATAATAAATTATCATGATTTATAATCTAGAAACTATACTTATTACCCCTAAATCAGTCCATGAAGCAAATAGTAACAAAAATTCCATTGAAAAGGTATATACTCTTGGTGAATATATAAACAAAACTAATTGAAAAACCTCAAAAGAGATTCAAGTATATGAAATATTGCAAATTGAGATATCTCTATAAGTGTTTTTATGAAGAGAAAAAAAGTAGTCCACAACACTTTTGTATAATATAAATCTTCCTACAATAACTGATAGCGTTGATATTGAAGAAAATCCGTCGAGGAATGCTAACGTTGAAATAATTGATCAAATAAAATAATGTAACCCTAACAAAATTGAACTTACTAAATAAATTTGAAATTTCTGAATCTGCAATCTAAAAATCTAAAGGCGTATATTTATACGAAATAAAAAAAAAAATTAAAGTCATAATATGTAATGCACGTCTCTTAGCATAATGAATTTCATAAAAATTTAAATAAATAGATAAATTACCATGTGGTGGATGCAATTACAAGTTTATATCTTGTTATCCGGACAATGCATAAAATTCAATGTGCGTTTAATAAAATATGATTGTAACCAACTTATCGACATATCCATTAATACCATTAATACCTGAAGCATATAGTTTTAAGTGAGATTATCATGATGGGAGTAAATATTTGTCATATTTTTTCTTAACCAAGATTTTGTCCTATTGAATTTTTCTTGACAAGATTTTTAATAAAACAACTTTTGTAATATATTCAAATGATTAATGTAATCTTTTTTCTACAGTAGGATTTTTCCGACGTGACTTTTTTTCTAGTAAGTTTTGAACGAGGCATATTATTTATGTAATCAATGTCCATAATGTACATGACATTTACAGTCAATATGACCTTAGGATTATATTATAAATTTGTATATGAGATACTCAAGAAAGACAATAAAATATGTATTTCAACGAATCATCATACTGATTAAAGTCAAATAAAGATAGATGAATATCTTATATGAATACTATATATCTTTGAGAATATAACAAGACATGGGATATAATTCACTTCAATTGTTTTATACAAGTTTTTGGACCATGGTGTATTTAACACATTGGCACATAAATACGAATAGTTCGATATGAGTACCTTCATTAATTGAAATCTGAGCTAGTATCTTTATTTTTTTCCTTCACTCAAAGTTTGTCTCAGAGAATTTTTTTGACAATGTTTTAACTATAAAGCATTTTATTAGTTCAATTTTTTAATAATTAATTTTACTTTTTTATTTCATTTCTTTGATATTTTTGTCCTGTTGAATTTTCGTAAATCTAGATTATATCGTTATTATGAAGATAATCATGAAAGGAGGGGTGTAATAAAATAATTCATTCATTGAATTTATTGGCTTAAGATTTGTCATCTCTATGTGATTAAATCCCTCGAGTTATTGCAATGTAAAAAAAACCGATGAGATTATGGAAGTAAAATATTCTTGCATTACGGGATAAGTATTAATGGCCATTTATTCTTATCAGAATAATTAGATAGTTTTTACTTACTTTAGAAAAATATATTTTTACATTGAGATTGCAACTTTCTTTGAAATTTTATATAAGGGTTATTTGTTATAATGAAACACGCAATTGAATTTGACTATCATATTTTTTTTTTTCTCTTATTATTTTATCACTATCAATTTCATAACAAAAATTTTATTTTAATTACACATTATATTTTTATATTGAGATTGTAACTTTCATTGAAATTTTATATAAGGGTTATTTGTTATAATGAAACACGCAATTGAATTTGACTATCATTTTTTTTTCTCTTATTATTTTATCACTATCAATTTCATAACAAAACTTTTATTTTAATTACACATTTCGTAAGACTCATGACTACTGCAACTTATCCACCAATCATTCCTATTACATTATAATTTTTTAATAGCTTATAATTTTATCCAAACACTTGCCCAGAGGATCGGTATTCCGACTCATTTTATCATTTCTACTGTAAAAATAATAATAATAATAATAAAATAAAATTACTTGCTCATGAAATGGCTTTCTCTCTACTTCAAGTGGCATTTATATAGAAATGAGAAAGGGTTTTGAGGTAAGAGCAACTAGTGGGGATTGAAAGCAAAAACCATAAACTTGTGTCGTGTTCTCATCTTGTCTTCATTCTAACTTATGGACATTTACAAAAATCCACCAAAAACTATATTCCAATTACATTTGAATAGTATGTAACCAAAAATTATCTTCTAGAATGCTATTGACTTGGATAATAAGCAAAAACCTTGTCCACCACGTATTCTTGTTTAGGTTTTCAAATGTTTTCCTTAAGGTATCATGAATTATGTATGACGTACCTTGTACATGAATTCCTAACAAATTTCCTTCGATTTTTTTAATATTTGACAATTATAAAGTCAGTAATTTAATTTTAGTATATAGTATACTGTTTCTATTAAGTATTTACATTCATAAAACCTTATCATCTTATCTTTCACACACGTCCCAAGAATGGAGTTTTTTTCTCTTTATTTCCTCCTCTTGATTTTCTCCATTTTTCTCTACTTTTACATCTTCTTCATCCACTCAAAATCCAGCAAAAACACACAAAACGGCTTTAAAATCTACCCACTTTTGGGTACTTTACCGGATTTCCTCCGCAACCGCCACAGGTTCCTCGACTGGACCACCGGAGTCCTCGCCGGTTCCCACTCCAACACCGCCACGTTCCACCGTCCCGGAAAAGTCCACGGAGTTATCACTGCCAGTCCACAAATTGTTGAGCATATGCTGAAAAGCAACTTCGAAAACTACCCAAAAGGCATCCGTTTTAGGACCCTCCTGGAAGATTTTCTTGGGAGGGGAATTTTCAATACAGATGGTGAATTGTGGAAAATCCAGAGGAAAACAGCCAGTTATGAGTTCAACACAAAGTCTCTCAGGAATTTTGCACTGGAAAATGTCACTATGGAATTACAAACACGTTTAATTCCAATTCTTGAAAATGCAGCGAAAAATGAGAGAATTCTTGATTTTCAAGACATTCTTGAAAGGTTTGCATTTGATAATATATGTAAAGTCGCCTTTAATGTTGATCCAGGTTGTCTGATTGGAGATGCGACTTCTGGTGGGGAATTCATGCAGGCATTTGAGGATGCTGCTACACTTAGTTCAGGTAGATTCATGTATGCTTTTCCAGGATTATATAAAATCAAGAAATTTCTCAATCTTGGATCAGAGAAAAAATTACAAAACTCAATTGCTACTGTACATGAATTTGCTGATAAGATAATAAGATCCAGGATGGAAGAGAGAGCTGAGAAAAAAGATGAAGATCTATTATCAAGATTCATAGGTAACAGTGAGAATTCTGCTGAATTTCTTAGAGATATTGTTATTAGTTTCATTTTAGCTGGGAGGGACACTACATCATCAGCTCTTTCTTGGTTCTTTTGGTTGTTATCATCAAGGTCAGATATGGAGGAAAAAATACTAATGGAATTAGAAATTATTCGTCAAAAAAATCATAAAGTAATTGGGGATACATATAATTTTGATGAACTGAGGGAAATGAATTATCTTCAGGCAGCAATTTCTGAGGCTATGAGGTTGTATCCACCAGTGCCAGTTGACACCAAGGCTTGTAAAGAAGATGATATTTTGCCTGGCGGAACGTTTATTGGGAAAGATTGGTTCATTTCATACCACACATATGCCATGGGAAGAATGGAAAATATATGGGGAAAAGATTGCTGCGAGTATAGACCAGAAAGATGGCTTGAAAATGGGATTTGCAAACAAGAAAATCCTTTCAAGTTTCCGGTTTTTCACGCCGGGCCGAGACAGTGTCTTGGGAAAGATATGGCCTATATTCAGATGAAATCCATTGCTGCTTCAATTTTGGAAAGGTTTGGAATGGATGTGTTGTTGGAGAAGGGTAAGTGCCCTGAGCATGTGTTGTCTTTGACGCTAAGGATGAAGGGTGGGTTACCAGTAAAAGTGAAGGATAGAAATGTGTAAACAGTGCACATGTTCGGCACTGTATAAATTTCCCGTTCTTTACGAACAAGTCTTTGTATGTATTCTAAGTTGCTTTCATATGATAACAGTTGATGAATCATTGTCAATCGAACTTTTAATTTCTACTCTTTCTTTGTTTATTGGCTGGCCCTTTCTCCCAGTACAAACATGAATTAAATTCTTCGATAGTCTTGAAAAATCAAGAAAATTCAAGAAGATATTTCCTGCTTTCAGACTTGGGATATTGGCAGGTCATGTACAAGTTGAATTGTAATCAATCACAATAAAACGACAAATTGGCAAGCTTTTGTGCAGCACATGACTAAAATAAATGCCCAAAATGTTCTCTATATTGTGGAACTTAGAATTTACACGGCACTTTCGTCAGCAATCTACTTCGAATGTTTATTAAGTAGCGCCGAACAAAAAGAATAATAAAACACAATTTCTATCATTGACTTTTAGAGTTGACGAGCCATGTCTAGTTTACCTAACCAAACATCCAAATTCTCACTAGCTCTACTTCCTTATCTTAAATCATTTAACAATGGCTTTGTATTGTCAGAACACTCGATTCTTCTTCCCTGCTTTCAATTTCGGTCAGCACCTCTATCGACTTATACATGTAAAACCAAGCACACGTGACATAATATATCAAATTTATGACTTGTAAATATTGTCACGTGCCTATAATTATTCTCCAACCATTCCCGATTAAGATTGCAGTTTGCTAGCCAGTCTGTTTTCTGTAAAACCCGAAAATTTTATAGAGGACGATACCTAGCATATATGACAACTTAAGAAGCTTTTGGACCTATTAGTCCATTTTTAGAAAGTTCATGGACCTAAGTGCAAATTAACAAGACTATCCCGTTCGTTGAGAAAATGTTATCAAGATGCAAATTAACAATAGTAGCTGATTATCTTTAGTCATTCTCAACCCTAATTTGGGTTCAAGAGATATATTGATAATTATCTGAATTTTAGTGTGAAGGAGAACACTCGTTAACACGTCCTTCAAGATAAAATATTAAATAAAAAATTATTTATCCCATTTTTAACAACTCATGTCTTTAATAAAATATCGACTTATGTAGTTACATTGCATGTTGAAGAGAATTTTATATAAGTAGATCTAATTATCTTTAATAATTTGAATTTTTAACTGGCTCCCTTGCACGATAATTTCCAAAAGTCGGTATTTAATTCCCACCTGTAAATGCAGTAATCTATAATATATTAAGTATCAAGTCAAGTGGGAATCATTTTTGGGACGATTTTAACCCCACTACAATTCAATGATTTCAATAATAAATTACTTTCAATTTTTGAATATGTAATAAATACTACAAAATCCTCGCATGTATGAATTTCGTATTATTAATTAGCATTCACATTAATCTAGATTTAATGAATCTTGATATACATAAATCTGGAGTTAATATAGATAAATTTATTTCTATTTATGTATCGAGGAATTTTAATGAATGTATTAAATTCATGTATTAACAAATAATTCTTATTTATCAGATATAGTATAAATATATTACTTATTTGTAATATTTCATCGTCACAAAAATTTAAATAATAGAAGTTCACAAAGGGAACAAGATAACCACCCTTAAGCAGGAATACCAGTCATGCAATAATGAACAAATTATGCAATAGTCAATAAATAAATGTTGGTCGGTACACTTTGAAAGTCTCATTTTGAACAATTCATGTTAGATAAAGATTTCGAGAAAAAGGGTAGAGTGTAATACAAGTAATCTTAATGGTTAAAATTTCGATATTTTAATATGCTAAAGTCAATAACACAGAAAATTATAGAGTGTGTTTGGTAGAAATTTTTGGGGGAAGAATTGATNGTGTGGTTGAAAAAGAAAAAAATATATGGATGTGATGTAAAATATTATTTTAATTGAAAAATGTGTGATTGAAAATGAGAATTGATTTATTGTAGAAAATGAGAATATGTACCAAATAGGCTCGTAATAAAGTATATCTCGTGTCTTTCCTCATCGATTCTATTCAGTAATGTCCTATCAAACATGTCAATAATGCATGTAAATAGAGTGCTTATTTTAAATGGACCATGCTAGAAAAACAGGGCCAAAAAAAGGGAATTGCATACAGGTACACTTGGCAACAAAACATTGGGGGATGCGAAAATTTAACACAAAAAGTCACGTAGGAGCCGCCACATGTATCTATTTTTTTTTTTTATCCCTGTTTGAGTAGCATTTTCCATATAATTATGAAGGGGCAAGTCAGAGAACATGTTACTTTTGCTTACATATTTGCTTACATACGTACATGTTACTAATTAGTCAACTGTTTTAAGATATTGAAAAGAGTAATGCTACTAGTACAGGAGCATTTACCTGGAAAACATAAAGGAATTAAAAAAAGCTGAGGTGACACTAACATTTCTGAATCCCCGACACTGCGCTCACCTAATCTATTTTGATGGAAATACGAAATCCAATAAAATAATGGATTCCTTAGATGCATTTTCTCTTCCTTCAAAGTATTCTTGTTTGGGATGTATTAATTATTGATAAAAAAATTTGAGTTAATTATTAAATTTTCAGGATTATTATGGGATGTCAAACGAAGTCGAAATATTACATTTTTAATATCATTTCGAAGTGTTCACGACCTAGTTTCTCTCATCTCTAATGACGTGCGAAACGGTCAACCATAGCGAAAGTTACCACTCGTCGAAGAAGGCCGTTCCAAAATATATAAAAGATTTTTTCTTATTTTTTGTCTCAATTTTCGGGATTATTACGGGATGTCAAACGAAATCCAAATATTGCATTCTTAACACCGTTTCGAAGTGTTCATTGCCTAGTTTCCCCCATCCCTAACGACGTGCAAAACGGTCAACCGTAACGAAAGTTACCACTCGTCGAAGAAGGTCGTTCCAAAATATATAAAAGATTTTTTCTTATTTTTTGTCTCAATTTTCGGGATTATTACGGGATGTCAAACGAAATCCAAATATTGCATTCTTAATACCGTTTCGAAGTGTTCACGGCCTAGTTTCCCTTATCCCTAACGACGTGCAAAACGGTCAACCGTAGCGAAAGTCACCACTCGTCGAAGAAGGCCATTCCAAAATAAGAAAAAAATCTTTTATATATTTTGGAACGGCCTTCTTCGACGAGTGGTAACTTTCGCTACAGTTGGTCGTTTCGCACGTCATTAGAGATAGGAGAAATTAGCTCGTGAACACTTCAAAATGATATTAAGAATGTAATATTTCGACTTCGTTTGACATCCCATAATAATCTCGAAATAACTAACTCAAATTTTTTTATCAATAATTAATACATCCCAAACAAGAATACTCTGAAGGAAGAGAAAATGCATCTAAAGAATCCATTATTTTATTGGATTTCGTACCTCCATCAAAATATAGATTAGGTGAGCGCAGTGTCAGGAATTCAGAAATGTTAGTGCCACCTCAGCTTTTTTGAATTCCTGTATGTTTTCCTGGCAAATGCTCCTGTACTCGTAGCATTACTCTATCGAAAAAGGGTAAAGTCACTTTAGTGGAAAAATGTTAACAGATACTTTGACATAATAAGTGCTGATAAGATGTGATTAAGTAAAAAAGCTGACCATATTTTAAACAGTCCAATCATAAAATATTATGTGCCATTATATCAATCGTTATGTTATTGTAACATGATTCATCAAAAATTGGACAAGAATCAAAGAGATGACAAAAGAATTACCTAAATTGATATTTAAACACTAATTTTAAAAGAGAATCTCTTTTCCAAAGAGATTTAAAGAAATGACGTTAAATTAACTTTCTTTAATAAAATTCCTAACTAAAAGAAACACTATTATATAATTAACTACATGCATAATGAACCTTTAGCCCATGTTTAATCACCATTTTCTATAACTCATTTTTTTTTCTAAAACTCAATTTCAACTCCACATTTTTTTAATAAAATTCAAATCTTTTTCTTGCTTTCAACCACACATTCTTCAAAAAATTAATTACAGAGTCTGTTCTCCAAACAAAATAGGACTCAAACAAACCCTTAATATCGTGGGTTCCATGAGAGATGACAATCGACGAAACTGCGTAGAAAACAAATAACTAGAATTAGCATGGTGAAAGTATGAAAAAATACTATGAAATGTTAAATGATCTTCACTCGGCACAAACATTGAAATAATATGCTGCAATCTCTGTTTGGCAAACGATCAAAATCAAACTTTAATTTCAACAACATATCAATACTACTACTCATTATTGTCAACACATTTATTAGTTTCCCTCACCACTGTTAGTAATAATCAAATCCGAATAGATTGCATCAATGAAGTTCAGAAATAAATGTAGGGACAGAGTCTCGAAATCTTGCTCACTACTATGCTCAATAACGTCCAGGAATACAATCCATAAACGCTCCAAAACATATGAACATGTCATGCAGCACTTACGGTAATCCAACTCTTATAACTGCAAATATAGCTTATGAAAATTTCATCATAGTTACCATGTCTGTAAAAGTGATATCAACATGTTCACCGCACTCAAAATCTCCATGTAAGAGGAAATTTAAAAGGTCAAATTTCCAATTGCCTAAAGAACAATTAACCTACAGA